CATTGGCTACTGTGAGAACAGGAGTCTGGGCTGGATGGGCAAGTTCTCACAGTGGTCAATCAGATGTCTATGGGAAACCCTCATGCACAATCTGAGCACTCTTCCATACTGTTGTGTCCAGCAACTGGAATTCGGAAGCACTACTGCTAGATCTCCAAGATTCTGACTATAATAATAATAATTTATTTATACCCCGCCCATCTGGCTGGGTTTCCCCAGCCACTCTGGGCGGCCTCCAACAGAATATTAAAATACAATAGTCTATTAAACATTAAATGCTTCCGTAAACAGGGCTGCCTTCAGATGTCTTCTAAAAGTCTGGTAGTTGTTTTTCTCTTGGACATCTGGTGGGAGGGCATTCCACAGGGCCAGTGCCACCACCGAGAAGGCCCTCTGCCTGGTCCCCTGTAACTTGGCTTCTCGCAGCGAGGGAACCGCCAGAAGGCCCTCAGCACTGGACCTCAGTGTCCAGGCTGGACAATGGGGGTGAAGACACTCCTTCAGATATACAGGACTGAGGCTGTTTAGGACTGAACATTAGGAGAAAATTTCTGACAGTAAGAGCTGTTCAACAGTAGAACAGACTACCTCAGATAGTCTCCTTCATTTGACGTTTTTAAACAGTGGTTCGATGGCCATCTGTCAGGGATTCTTTATTGTGATTCCTGCATTGTGGGATTCTATGATCAATCTCTTCCGGAACCCCAGCTCAGAGCATGTTGGGATGTCAGAGAGATTCCTTCTAAAGCTTTCCCCTAGAATCTTCCAAGGCTCTTCTTACTCCTTTGCAAATGTTCCATAGCTGAACCTTTTCTTACAGAAATTTCTCTGAAGCCAGCTGAGCAACAATAATCTTGAAAATACTTATTCTATATATAGTTGGCAATTATATAAGTATGCCATGATTGACATTATATGTGAGGGATGGGGGGGGGGAGCAATGAGTGCACACATTTGGAGTGCAAAGTCAGTTTCTCCTGCAAAAGCCAAACCTGATACTGTATTCTGCAGGACCCTGGGGACTGCAAAGCAGGGATGGCTACTGGCAGCTAGGGAACGCTGTTCTGGCCCTCCATATCACAGAATCATATCGTAAAGTTGGAAGGTTCCCCTAAGGGTCATCTAGTCCAACCCACGACTATGCAGGAATTACAGCTAAAGAATTCTTGGCAGATGGCCATCCAAGTTCTTCCTAATGCTTAGTCAGAATCACCTTCTTTGTCATTTTAATCCATTGGTTTGGGTCCTCACCTCTGGAACATCAGGAAGCAAGCTTGCTCAGTCTTCCATGTGGCAGACTCTCAGGCATTTGAAGACAGTTATCCGTATAGTCAAAGCTATGGTTTTCCCAGTAGTGATGTATGGAAGTGAGAGCTGGACCATAAAGAAGACTGATCGCCGAAGAATTGATGCTTTTGAATTATGGTGCTGGAGGAGGCTCTTGAGAGTCTCATGGACTGCAAGAAGATCAAACCTATCCATTCTTAAGGAAATCAGCCCTGGGTGCTCACTGGAAGGACAGATCCTAAAGCTGAGACTCCAAGACTTTGGCCACCTCCTGAGAAGAGAAGACTCCCTGGAAAAGACCCTGATGTTGGGAAAGATGGAGGGCACAAGGAGAAGGGGACGACAGAGGACGAGATGGTTGGACAGTGTTCTTGAAGCTACCAGCATGAGTTTGACCAAGCTGCAGGAGGCAGTGGAAGACAGGAGTGCCTGGCGTGTTCTGGTCCATGGGGTCACGAAGAGTCAGGCAAGACTAAACAACAACAGCAACAACAAATCCTATCCCCTCTCAGTCTTCTCTCTCCAGACCTAACATACCCCTCAACTGCTCTTCATTAGGCTTGGTTTCCAGACCCTTGATCATTCTGACCTCTCACTCCTCTGCACATGGTCCAGCTTATCAATATCCTTAAACTGTGATGTCCAGAAGTGGACACAGTATTCCAGGTATAGGCAGAAGAGAGTGATACTATTATGGTACTTCTCTTGATTAGGACACTAGACTTCAGTTGATGCAGCCTAGAACTACATTAGCTTTTTTTGCTGCTGCATCATATTGTAGACGCATGCTAAGCCTGTGATCTACTAAGCCCCCTAGATCCTTTTCACAAGCACCGCTGTCAAGCAAGGTGCCCCCATCCTGTATTTGTGCATTCAGCTATTCCTACCTAAGTGTTTAAGGTCATTATTTAGCAAAGCATTAAGTAACAGGGACCAGGAGTTTTGTTCAAACTGCCTTTTTTTCATAGCCAGTAGGGCTTTGCACTTAAGTGTACATTTGTCCCTGCTGAAATTTGTTTTGTTAGTTCTGATCAAGTGATGGGAAAGATCTCCCAGGTCCTGGAGCTAAGAGAGTTGGGCAAAGAATCAGATCTGCTATCAGGCAGCTCCCAGCATTTTTCCAGCCATTCCAACCAATCCATGGAAAGGGCAATAAGGAAGACTTTTCTTTATGATTGCCACTTGGTGGATCAGAGGAACGCTGTTGACATAGTCTATCTTGATTTCAGTAAAGCATTTGACAAGGTCTCCCATGATATTCTTGTAAGGAAGCTGGCAAAATGTGGGTTGAATGAGGTGGATTTTTAGCTGGTTGACTGACCGAACCCAAAGAGTTCTCATTAATGGTTTCTCGTCATCCTGGGGAAAAGTGACAAGTGGGGTGCTGCAGGGTTCTGTCCTGGGCCCATTGTTGTCTGACATCTTTATAAATGACTTGGATGAAGGAATTGGAGAACTGGGTCCAAGCTAACAAAATGTTTTACAACAGGGACAAAGGTAAGGTTCTGCACTTAGGCAGGAAGAACCACCTGCACAAATATAGGATGGAGGACCCGTGGCTTACCAGCAGTACATGAGAAAATGATCTAGGGGTCTTGGTGGACCACAAACTTAACAGTGTGATGCAGCAGCAAAAAAGCTAATGCTATTCTAGGCTGCATCAACAGAAGTATAGTGTCCAGATCAAGGGAAATAATAATACTACTCTATTCTGCCTTGGTCAGACCATACTTGGAATACTGTGTCCAATTCTGGGCACCACAATTTAGGAAGGATGTTGACAAGCTGGAAGGTGTGCAATGGAAGGCACCCAAGATGATCAAGAGTCTAGAAGCCAAGCCTTATGAGGAACAGTTGAAGGAGCTGGGTAGGTTTTAGCCTGGAAAAGAGGAGCTTGAGAGGAGATATCATAACCATTTCAAATATCTCAAGGGCTGTAACATGGACGAAGGAGCATGCTTGTTTTCTCCTGCTCTGGATGGTAGGACCTGAACCAAGGGCTTCAAGTTACAAGAAAAAGGATTCCAGCTAGACCTCAGGAAGAACTTTCTGACAGTAAGAGCTGTTCAACTGTGGAATGGTCTCCTTGGAGGTTTTTAAGCAAAGGCTGGGTGGTCATCTGTCATGGATGATTTGAGCTGAGATTCCTACATTGCAGGGGGTTGGACTAGATGACCCTCGGGTCCCTTCCAACTCTAAATTCTATGATTCCCATAAGAGCTCTGCACACCTTACAAAATATGCACAGCTTAACAAATAACTACCAATAGCAACACAGTACCAATCTGCTGGTCTCCTCCCCACTTCTGACATTCCATCAGAAGTTTAAACAGAAATCATGTGTTTACTCCACGGTGGGGTACCCCACACAACCATACCATATTAATATTCTGCCTCCAGACAATCCATGTTCTCTGCCCAAAAAAATGCTAAATTCTACAACTTGCATAAATTATGCAAATTAAGACAATTGTGTGATTTATTCAACTTTTGCTAGTCATGGGGCATTAAATCCTGCCCCCCACAACTTGGAATCTCTTCCAGCTATCTTTCTAGCATAAGAGCAGCCATGGGGAATCCCTTTTAAGCTGAGGACCACATTAGGTTCTGGGGAACCTTCCTGGGGCCACATGCCAGTTTGTGGGCAGGGACAGAGGTAAAACTTGGCAGAACAACAGACATTAATTTTGCCTTTGTACCTTAGGCTGTTTTATACACAAACATGCACACCCCTCTCTCTATTCTCCATCCAGACAAGCAAGGAGTATTATTACACATTCCAGCCAGGCAAAAATGCATGAGGACGGGGCAAGGAGGGCCACATACAGGTGTGGAGAGAATTCCAAGGGCCAGACAGAGAGTCCTGGGGGAAGCAGGCAGACTAGGGGTCCCCAGTGCAGTTTTAGGCATTTCAGGTGCTGTCACCCACCCATATCCAAGCACAGTGCCATGAGGTCTAGAAACTTAATTTTTAAGAGAAAGGAGGAGGAAGTGCTCAAGAAGTCCCGACTCTCACATGATGCTCTCTTGTAGAATCATTATATACACATCATCCTGAATATAACGTTTGCCAGCCTGCAAGAACAGAGATCAGGTTGTCAGCTCTGGGCAGAAACCAGTCACATTGTTCCTGATGGTAGCTCATGGGTGCATCTCACGGTTGTGGGTTCGAACTCCACGTTGGGCCAAAGATTCCTACATTGCAGGGGATTGGACAAGATGACCTCCATGGCCATTTCCAACTCTACAATTCTATGATGCCACAAGCTCAATATTTTTTATCCCTCCCAGGAAGGCTCCCAGAACATCCACAACCTCTGCCTAACTCAGCTTCTTTCCGAATTACAAAACCGACCAGAGCCAGAACCACCTTCAGCACCAGAGGAAAACAAGCAACCCAAAACTTTGAGCTGGGGATGAAATGCTTCTGTGTGCCTGAACTTTTCTTCACTTGCTGTTTGTTGAATGTACATCCCAAAGGAGTCCAGGGCATCACTTCCTGAAGAAGAAGCTGGTGAAGCCCAGAAGCCTGCACATTCCGACACTAAATACAGCCAGCTGCCTCCCAAATTCCTATCCCTTGTTGCACTTTTGGTGACACCTATTCCTTTTACGGAGAAAACAAACTGATCCCAGCCCAGGACTAGAATAGGACAGGTCGCACCTGAAAAGTTACTTTAAAAAAAAAAAAGTCCCCTCCGGTGGCTCCTTACCCCGAGAGTCGTCCTCTTGGTCCGACGGGTTATTGGGATCCATTACTTCCGGGAGAAGCTCCCACCGCGCCGTGTCTCCATGCAGCGAAGCGAGAGAAAAGGTTATCTTAAAAGGAAAACTTGGAGGGGGAGGGGGAGGAGCAGGAAAAGCGAAGCCCTGCTGCCGCTCAAACCAATTCACCTGCCTGACGAGCTAGCGCCACATCCAAAAGGGGACATCGGAAGGCGCCTCCCTTGGCGTGACACGGCCTGGCCGGTTTCCCAATTCGCCGGCTGGCCCTCGCGGCTCGCGGGTCTTTCTCCAACATCTCGAGCAAAAGGCATACCGCTCTTTTCTTCCCCCCGTGTGCGCGAGCCTTTCAAACTCTCGGCTCCTCTCCCGAAATCGCCAGCTCTCTCGGACGAAAGTTCAGAAGCCGTGCGGAGGTGTGTGGGGGGGTGGTAGTGTGCGGTGGGGGGACACGAGGTTGGCAGAGGAGGATGAAAAAAGAGCTCCTTGCAAGCGGTAAGGTTGGGGGGGGTGGAAAGAGAGAAGACCAGCCTCCAAGCCACACTGTTGCATAACGCAAAGGGCTGCTATAATAATAACACATATAAAGTGGTGTGTTCCTTGGGGAGGAAGGAGGGAGGGAGGAAGAGCGGGGGGGGGGAGAGAAGGAGAGGGAAAGGGAGAGAGAGAGTCGGCAGGAAGAATCAAAGCTTAGGAAGGGGAAGCAAAACCCACCCCAAACATCTCAGGAAATACAGAATTGACTGAACCCCAGGAAGGCCCACAGAGAAGGTCCCTCTCCTGATCATGGCTGGCTTACTTTCTGAGCATCCTCATACACCCTGGCTGCATTTGAGCCTCTTGTTGGCCAGAGAGGGGTCTCCCCCCCCCAATAAAATAAAATAAAATCAGATCCTGGCAGGTATGGGCTTGGGTGACTCTGCACTAGGGCACCAGCTGCACCTTCCTTGCTGCAGTGCCTTGTCCTATATTTACCTCCTTTTGGCAAGCCTCTGATGCTGCTGGCGGGTTTGCATGGGCTCCAAGAGCAGCAGAGCTCCTGCCAGGAGCTGCACTGTTGTCATTTGCCCTTAACAGAGCTGCTGAGGAATCTAGAGGCTGCAGTGGGGGCGGGGGGGCAGGAGGGGGGTTGCCTAAAAGGACGCAGAAATAATTTCTTGCCGTTGCCCCGTCAAGCCCACTGAACAGACCATAGAGGGATTAGCACTGTGATTCAACTGGGGTAGTTGCATCCACTAACCTAACCCCCCCCTACCCCGCCACTGAGGTCCGGTTGCGAACACACTGCTCTGATGGGGAAGTGTCAGCTATGGAATGGCCACAAACACCACTGATTTCTCCCACAAATGCAGGGAAGAGCCATTGGAGCCAGATGCTACTACAACCACATTCATGTGGCAGGAAATTCCATACTGTAGGTTTTTTGGGGAGGGGCATGTCCCAGAGGGAATTTGGGGAGTGCAGGTTTCTCCTTGCATGGCGAGTTGCCCCACTGCTGACTTCCCCTCCTCTGGTGGATAGATCCAGCAAGCTAAAATGGAATCTCCCTGGCACACCTTTTGCACTGAAATCCTTCAGGGGCTGGCCATTATGTTTGGGCAGAGGGAGGCAAATGGGTAGGAAAGCAGGGAGGGCACCCCCCGCAGGCATGACCCAGAGACAGTTGCGCATTTGGCTGGGGGGTGTCAACCCTGCAAACATTTGGCCAGGAGACTGACAAGGAAGCTAGGAAGAGAGCGCTTGTCCAGATCATAATCGTACATGCGCAGGCCCTGATTTGAATGAATCAGCCAAACCTTCCAGGACTGTAAAAGGGGGGGGGGTTGCAGGCAGATTGGCATTTCCAGCCACAGCGCCAATGGCAGTGGTGGGCGGACAAATGATGGAGAGTTGGAGAAGTTCACAAGCACTGCATGGGGGAGAGGGGGGTGGCATGAAACTACGGTGACTGTACCACAATTGCAGCCAGCACTCAGAGAGAGAGGGAGGGAGTGAGAAGGAGAGAGGCAGATTTCTAGGCTGTTGTTCTGGCCTTAAGAACTTAAGAAAAGGCTGCTGGGTCAGGTTAGTGGTCTAGCCCACAGTGGCCAGGCAGATGCCCCAATGGGAAACCCACAAAGAGGCCCCATTCACACGAGCAATCTCCCCTCCTGCAGCTTTCCCCAGCAACTGGTAAAAAGGTAAAGGTAAAGGGACTCCTGACCATTAGGTCCAGTCGTGGCCGACTCTGGGGAGCCGGCGTACAGCTTCCGGGTCATGTGGCCAGCATGACTAAGCCGCTTCTGGCAAACCAGAGCAGCACACAGAAACGCAGTTTACCTTCCCGCCGGAGCAGTACCTATTTATCTACTTGCACTTTGACATGCTTTCGAACTGCGAGGTAGGCAGGAGCAGGGAGCGAGCAACAGGAGCTCACCCCGTCGTGGGGATTCAAACCGCCGACCTTCTGATCGGCAAGTCCTAGGCTCTGTGGTTTAACCCACAGCGCCACCTGTGTCCCTCACCACTTATATGCCTTTTCTCTAACCTAAAATTTTCCCAAGGCTTCATTTCCTTAACCATTTTGGTTGCCCTTTTCCGAACCTTTTCCCTTTTTATATATAATTTTCTTAAAATATATATATATATATTCAACAAACAGTTTGACAATTCGAATTTAGCAGTCAATCATTCCACCTACTTTTCATACTCCACAATATCATTTCTGAGGTGAGGTGAATAGAACAGTACACAGTATTGCAAATGAGGTCACTGCGTAGATTTGTATAACAGCAACTGGTACTCAGAAGCATATACTGCCTCCAATCATTGTTCTTGTTTAGTTGTTTAGTCGCATCTGACTCTTCGTGACCCCTTGGACCAGAGCACGCCAGGCACTCCTGTCTTCCACTGCCTCCCGCAGTTTGGTCAAACTCATGCTGGTAGCTTCGACAACACTGTCCCACCATCTCGTCCTCTGCCGTCCCCTTCTCCTTGTGCCCTCCATCTTTCCCAACATCAGGGTCTTTTCCAGGGAGTCTTCTCTTCTCCTGAGGTGGCCAAAGTCTTGGAGCCTCAGCTTCACGATCTGTCCTTCCAGTGAGCACTCAGGGCTGGTTTCCTTCAGAATGGAGAGGTTTGATTTTCTTGCAGTCCATGGGAAGCTCCAGTCATAGAGACATAGTATATAGGCATTGTTGGTAGTAGCCATTGATAAGCCTTTCTCTCCATGGTTTTGTCTAAATTCTCTTTTAAAGCCATCCAAGTTTGTGGCCAATGAGAGTCTTGCTGGATCAGGCCAATGCCTCTCCAGCCTGGCATGCTGTCCTCACTCTGAATATCCAAATGCCTCAATCCAAATGCAAACAGGACCCAAGCACATATGCATGAACTGAGAAAGCCCTTACCGAAAGTCCCACCAGTTGGGCTTTGGGTGTTGGTGGGACAGAAAGATGGATCTCTCCTGTATCTCTTAAGCTGGCAGGCTCACATGGGAGAGGACCATCTTCCAAGTCAGCTGGTTCTGAGCTGTGTCGGGGACTTTGTGGGCCTTAACCAGCACTTTGAATTATGCCTGGAAATGGACCCGCCACCAAGGAAGCTGTTGTGACACAAGAGTCACTTGCTTGTTTTAATTGGCACCAGTCAATAGCCTGGCTGCAGAGGAGAGCAGCAGCCATGGAGGAAGGGAGGGGAGCCAGGTGGGGGGCGTGGGAGGAGGCCGGAGACCAGAAGAAGAAGGAGGGGGAGGAGGAGGTCATCAGGAGATACTGGGAAAATTGGGGGGGGGAATAGCCTGGCTGCAGCATTCTGAGCCAGCTGACATTTCTGAACACCCTTCAAAGGCAGCCCCCCAGATAGCATGTTGCAGCAGTTCAAATGAGATGTAACTAAGGCGTGTGTCACAGTAGCAAGATCTGGCATCTCCAGGAATGGCTGCAGTTGGCACACCAGCCTCAGCTGTGCCAAAGTAGTCATCCAGATTTAGGGCTGGATCCCCACCACGAGGGAAAGCAGACCTCCCATGTTCAAAAGCACTATACCGCTGATTACAAGGACTAGCAACAGAAAGGGGTCGCCTTCATCCGCTGCTTGTGAGGATCCAGTTAGAGACAGAATAATGGATGAGACGGACCTTTGATTGGTCTGATCTAGCAGGGTAGAGGCAACTGAAGCGTATCCAGTACCCATGAACATTATCAAATTATCTGAAACAAGGCAGGTATTAATTGTGGAGGAAGGAAAGACTTGTGCAGATGGACTGAATATCACAGTGGTGGCATTTGAAAGGAAGGCTCCAGCGGCTCTCATTGTATTCCGAAATGGTTGCAACAGAATGATTGTGCTGATTTCTTAGCTCCTTTTAAATATATTCTTCAAGAGCTGTGGGGGAATGTTTTGAATCTGTAAAGAGCTGTCTGCCAGAGAGGGGGGGGGGAAAGGATTTTTGCATGCTTTTGCCAAAAGCTCAGAAAGGAATCAGCTGGAGGAGGAGGAGGGTGGGTTTGTCCCACTCAGAAGGGTGATGAGATAGGGAGGGAAGCAGGGGTTCTTGGAAAGACACATTTTCACTGAATTCAGGGCCACTTCAGTGGACTGGGTGTAGGATTCCAGCTCAAGAACTGCTGTTCCCGTTTTGTGGCAGGCTAGCGTGGGAGCAGATCTGTAGGTTGGGGAAAGTGGCAAGTTGGCCAATGGGTAGATTAAGATGCCTGACAAGAGGAGACCCACAGCTTGCCCTGGAAACAAAGTAGTCTAGGACTGGAACGCAACTTGAGTGGGATGTCAAGGGCTGAATGCAATCAAGGCTTCAGCACCCCCTTCAGGCACTGCAGGGAAATGTCATGTTGACCCCTTTGACTGGTAAGTGATATGGAGTCTCACCTTAACCCCAGCCTGATATAAACATGAGGGGACATTGCCAATACCTGGACTCAGGACCTCTTCCTCTTTAGAAGAAGAAGGCCGCCCTACTCAGCCCCAAAATGTTCTAGCACAGACTTCCCCAACCTGGTGCTCCTCAAATCTTGATGAACTGAGTAGGAATAAGGAAGCTTCCTATGTAACCCATGTAACTCCCCTCAGCTCCAGGCAGCATGGCTAATGGCTAGACATGATTGGCACTGTAATCTTCCAATATCTGGCAGGTCACAGGTTCCTCATCCCTGCTCCAGATGATGCCCCCAAACAGCATTCTCCTTGCTTGCGATTCCCAGCAACTTGTACATGCTTCTTCCATCAGCAGAGGTGAAGCCAAGACATTGTGACCAGTAGTCACCAACAGTGCCGGATTACCAAACAGGCAGAGTAAACAACGTCCTATGGGCCCCGGGAAAGAACTGAAGTGGGAAGAACAGAGGCAACTTCCATGCAGGTGTGTGGCCTGTTGGCTGCATGTGTGTGGCCTGTTGGAGGAAGACAGTGCTTTTTTGCTTTTTTGAAAAAAAATGTTTAGGGGTACTCTCATTTTTCTACTCATATTGAAATTTGTTGTTGTTGTTTAGTCGTTTAGTCGTGTCCGACTCTTCGTGACCCCATGGACCAGAGCATGCCAGGCACTCCTGTCTTCCACTGCCTCCCACAGTTTGGT